GCTGCGCCTCAGCTCAGTCTGAGAGGTCTCATCAGAATCAGAGAATTAAAATCACCTGTGCAGATATACATCTTGCATTAGCGGGGCCTTTAATATGTATCGCCTGAAATATTCAGGGCAGTGAAAAAGCACAAGGGACAAACTCTGTACCACAATAACCAGCAGGAAAAAGCTAATCTGCATTGCCGGTGAAATGTGTCTCTGAGCGCCATGGTGCACCGGGCAGTTTTAGGATGAAATAGACACAAGTTTTTTACGCTTAAGCGAACAGAGCTGCCATTAACAGGATACAAAATGAGACTCTTGGTAGAAAGAAATGCAAATGTTTCCTGTTCCTGATTGGGTTGTGCTGTCCTCATTAATGCGGCGTGTCGTTGCCTGTAGACTGTATTTTTAAAAAGAAAACTTAACGAGAGGCAACATAGATCTGAACACTGTCATCTCTTAGAAAGCATGCGTGCGTTAAAGAAAAGAAAATGTACTTTGATTTAAAATCCAAGATGAATGCGGCATATCAGGCGGGAAACATGAATGAAAGGCTGACATCATACAGTTTGATCAGCACAACTCAACATAAGGTCTTTGTTTTACGGGGGAATATTTTGGGTCACACTCCAGTTTTCTAATTTTCACATGACGGCACGCTGTGGGTCGCTGTCTGGCTTGCTGGCTTCTTTGTTATGTGATGTGGTCAGTGTGTGAAGTGACAGGCGTTCAAGGTTGATTCAGACATCAGACAGGAAGCCTTGGATGAATGTTAAAAGACGCACTCGCTCCCATCCTTTTCAAAGGGGCCCTCTTCATCTCCTCGGCCCCCCTGCTGAGCACCCCCACTGGGCAGAGGGAGGCGCGGGGCCAGCCCCTCCAGTGGCTCTTTCACCATCTTTCATCATGCTTTCTGTCTGTTTTACTGTCATTTCTTTTGGGTTTAAAGCAATTGTTCCCTTGCTTTAAACCGAGACAAGAGGAAAGAGACAATTAGCAAAGGATTCTCATCCCTTTTTTCTCATTTTGTGTTGTGTCAAATGGCTACAATGATGCATTAGAAACATTAGCAGCAGCCTTGTAGCAGTACAAGGAAAAGCTTTGTGTTGCTTTTGTACTGTTGCTCCTTCACTGCAGTGGAAGTGGGCTTCACAACTGTGCATCAAGGGACACGACTGGGAGGGGGGGGGGGTAAACCTACAGTATCTAAGCAACCATGTATCAATGCGTAGCCGGTCTTAACAACACATTGATATGTGATCACTGAAATGACGTAGACAAATGCAGTTTGACATTGAATCTTGGGCCCTGTGGGAACACATGTGAACAAAGTGATTGTTTCCCATTTCATTTCTACCAAACACGGATGGCAGAAATGTCTTGCTTTGAATTTTCTGTTCACAGGATGTGACTAATAGAGAAGATAAGCTGCTAACCAAAGACAATATTAAAAGTTAGATATTGTGAAGGATGTCATGTTGGTTATTCTCAAAAGAAAAAAACTAAAATGTAACTTTACAAAACTACAAAAATGTACTGAACCTCATTGTGCCATGATGAGTGTTGAAACACATCTTTTTGATACAGGCCTCTCTCCGTCTCTCCCTCTCCCTCATTGCAACAGATCCTTTTCAGTTTTAGCCGGCCGAACTTCGCCAGCCACGAAAGAACTTGGAGGGAACGATGGAGGAAGAGTTGAAGAGAGGAGCGTAGAAAATAGGAGCATAGGTGAGGAGGAAACGTGGTTGGACAGGAGAGGGTTGATAAGAGAACAAAGATGGAAGAAATGCATGCAAATAAGTGCGCACACACACACACACACACACACACACACTGCTCCTAAGGTGTTATCTACACAGGTTATTGTACACAGCCACACACAGCCTGGCTTCTCATTTAATACTGAAGGGAATAACTAAATAAAGAGGCTGGAGAAAGAAAAGAGAGGGGGGGGTGTCGCTCACCTGGGGCGTCTCATTGATTTGCATCCCTTATTGAGCGTCTCTTTTATTTACACGGAACTTTATTTATTCAGGCTCACGACGGCGCTCAAGAGGAGTCTGCCAATGACCTGCATTATTGATGAGGATGCCGTCGACCTCTTGTGGCTTCCATCTCCACCTCTCCTCTGTCCTTCTATTTCCCTCGTTTCCTCGCCTCCCTTTACATCTTCTTTCCTTTTCTCCCCCACCCCTCTTTCCTCTTCTAATTGCCTCATACCTCATCACCTCCTCCATCCTTCCTCTTCCCTTTTCTTCCTCCCCATCTATCTCCCATTCCCCCTGGAGGTATTTTACTCCAAACGAAGATGAATCACACCTCCGTCTTACCTGATTTAGAGATTCATACACACGTACATTACACATTTAGTTCTTCCTATTGTTCTCAATTGATATTATGCTATTATATAACACACACTATCACGATGGTCTCCTTAGATTGAACCCTGCTAATCTTCAGTACTGGCACATACGGGGAGGTTTCTTTCCAGTGAAAGAGAGAGAGAGAGACACTAAGAAAGCAACACATCTGAGGCAAACAGGAAACAGGCTCCAACTCCACCTTGATGTGAAAAGCCCACGGAGATCTGACCACATGACTGAAGGCTCTGGATGCATCCTCCTCCTCCTCCTCCTCCTCCTCTTCCACTTCAAAAGGAAGTCGGCTTCATTAAAGAGCTGGGCCAGGAAACGTGAGGAAGCAGCCAAAAGAGATGAGCATTTGTCTTCACGTCCGCAGGTTGAGCTCACACTTAGAAACGCACCAAAAAGCCTCCGCTTACTTCCAGACCTCGACACAGCGGGGGCATACGTGATCATGTGTTGCACATGTAAACGAAAAACACTCACAAATGTACACACAAGCACTCATACAGGCTGAACCCAGCACGCCGAGGTAAAGACAAGGGGAAGTAAGGCAATTAGAGCTAGCATGCAAGTAGCAGCAACACAACAAATAAACCAAGTGAACGTTGGCAAAACTGTCGAGCCAACATTTTTTGTGGGCAAATTGGACCACTGAGAGCCCTTAGAGAAATGACACATTAAACACAAATATCAGATTGTGTGCGTCCACGCGTGCAGGCTGCCGTGGCCACACGTCCAGTTGTTTGTCGGTCTTCAGCCGAGGAACGGCAGGTTCTGACAGTGAGTTATACATTAATCATCTGCATTCCGGCTCAGTAATTATTAGTGTACATCAATCTGTTCCTCTGCTGATTAATTATTGTTTGAACAGCATAAATACTATGCTAGGATTTAAATTCCTTAACAGCTGACGGACCGAATAGGACTGATAATAAGCTCATTAATGCTGCTTTGTAGACACAGTCGCCCACGCAGCCTGGAAACACAGAAAACAGACACAGTAAGACAGAGACACACACTTGGACTTAGAGAGATGCACACAAGTACAAGTACCTTTTCTTAAGTTCTGTACTTGTATTTTGCCTGAGTATTTCCATTTTCGACTACTTGTTACTACTTTATTTCGACTACTTCACTTCAAATCGTTTTCAGGATAAACTGCTCCAAAACGAACCACCTTTTAAACTTCACCAGCTACATTAAAATCTGACAGCACATGAATGCATCAGTAAAAATAATCCAATTAAATATCAAGATGGCATGCTATGGCACGGCACTACTCAACTCGCTCTCTATTGTTTTCTTAGTACAATATCTCAGTCGAGGCTCCGAGGCGAGCTGAGCTGATTGGAAAAGATGGAGTTAAAACACTGCAGACCAACTGACGAAGTGCAGACGTTCCTGTGTTTGGTTGCCGCTGAACGGATTCAGCGAGCGGATGAAGAAGATGTCGCAGCAGTTTCACGCGGCCTCGCTACGGCGATTAGCTGAGTATCCCACCTCCACTGAGGGAGTACCATCTGTAGTTGAAGACCATATAGAGAAACGGACCTGGTACTAAAAGGCGGCAACCTCTGTGCTTTGAAAAGTGAATGCGGTACTTGCATTATTTCTACTGGCCATCAGGGGGCGACTCCTCTGGTCTGACTGTATAGAAGTCGATGAGAAAATCACTATATTTCTCACTTGATTTATTACCTCAGTAAATGTTGTGAACATGAGTTTATGGTCTCAATTGCATAGTTTGAAGTCTTCTTCAATCCAGCATGACTGGTCTAAGATCAGTTTTCTGTTTGATGGACAGAATAATTTACGAGCAGAACAATGATCAAAATGGTTGCCGATTAATTATCTGTGAATTGACTGATAGATGAATTGACTAATAGTTCCAGCTCTACACACATGTACACACTCTGGCTGTTGAGAGGCTTCCAAATAAAAACCACTAGTTTTGATATCTCCTACAAATCGACAGGCGGGTCCTCGCAGCGTTAGCCTGCACTGCTCTTTCCTGCCAACCCCATCTTCATAAAAAAGAAATTGTAAAATCAGATGTATTGATGATGAATCATGTCTGTCAGTTTGCATGTACGCTCGCTCCTCTGAGTAATTGTTTACTGAGAGTCTTCGTCACGCCCGAACCTCCTTTAAACAGGAGGCAGATGAGCTGTTTTCACTGAAGAAGGCTTGATTAGGCGTCTCCTTCAGTGATCAGCTATTTTCTATGGAACTGTTTCCCACTGCGGATCTTTTCTTTGGACTGAGCTGTAGATATTACCACGATGAAGCTGACGTTCTTAAGGTTTTTAAGTCTTGACGGCACAATAATAATTCTCCTCAATGAATCTGAATGTATTTGTTTTTATATGGACCATATAAAAACAAATACATTCTGGCACTGACATTTAAATCCACTTATGACATGTTGTCTGTGCTCTATTTGTGTCTTTTGCTTTACTGGTTTGGTTTATATATTTCTGTTGGGATGGAGCATTGACTCAAAGTAAATCGTGGCCTGAAGGCATTTCGAGGACTGTTTAGGCTCAAGCTGTGCGGCGTATCTTCCCAAACGGCACACACACCACACACAGTCTCTGTCTCTGTCATTCGGAAGAAAGTCAAGAGGTGTTGTGATGGGGGGGGGGGGGCTTCAACAAAAACAGGAAATACGCAGCTGTTGGAAAAATGTCCCATGTTGTTCCTCGGCAGCCATGTATCAAGTGTGAAAGTCACCTTGAGAGCAGATAGACAGACACGGACACTACCGGAAGACACCGAAACATGAGGCCATAAACCTGGTCTCCTATGGATCGCAGTCATATTTAGCTAATTTGCGTCAGTAATTTAATTCCATTGAAAAGCAGGAAGTAGCGTGAGATTCATGTGGTGCAGTTAAAAGTAAAGGTGTGCAGGTCAGAGAGGTACCCAGAAAGCATTTAACTTCTTCAGTGCAGGCCTGTGTTCAAGTGCTGTGTCGTACTGAAAACAAACATTTTTATGTAAGTTTACGTGAGAGTGGTAACAATGGTCATCTCGTCTACCTCAGCGTAGTTCTCAAAATTTGCCATAAGGTGATACGAGAAGAATAAACGGTATTGTGTTCCCCTCAAAATGTATAGCTAATGCAACATGTTCTCAGCTTTTAATCCAAAATGAATGAATGAATTATGATGCGACATCATCACACATTATGCCCATTGATTTGAGCCTTTCTATTGGCTGCAGCCTGCTCTTTATGTTCCGGGTTCATGGGGAGAAAGAAGTGATTTTCTGCACAGGGCCTAAGTGCTTTTTTATGATCATTGTAAATATTTCAATCAAGAAGGTGGATGAATTGCGGAGATGAAAAGTATTCACTGCAATTTCAATTGCCTCTGGTGTTAAATTTAAATTACAATGCGCTGGTGAAAAGGGTGATTTTTTCTCCCCCGTGCTGCTGGTGTAGGTCAATGAGGATTTGATGAATCTACTTTGGCATTCACATTTGTGATTTATTATTCATTTAATTCTTTATTCACTGGGATCCAGACCAAGAGCTGCTCTGTTTTTCTAACTAAAACAAACACACACACACACTAATAGTTAATAGTTAATCAAAGAACTGTGCATTGATTATACGGATGGCCTTCATTACTGTTGTGGTTAATCCGATCTGGCTCCAAATACATAAAATCAAAAGAAAAGAGGTGCAGTCAGTAGAGTGAAGATCTACTGCACTCAATAACGTGCCTCTGGCCGCAAAGCAACGGCTGAGTGTAGAGAATGTTTTCTTCATCAGCAGCCCCTCCCGGCCCGGTTGAGAGTAGTGAGTGAGGAGTCAGCAGGCAGTCAATGGCAGTATACAACTGGCAGTAAAAGGTATTTTCACAAAATGTGAATCACCGCAACCATGAGACGTCCTTGAGCATGCAACCATAACTGGCCACCCAAAAATGTTTGACAGTTTGCTGCAGAAGAATGCGAGACTGCGGACGGACGTGGAGGTGCACGCCCACTCACTCACTCACTCACTCACTCACTCGAGTGAAAGCATGATTCTCCTGGCAAAGATAATTAGCCGACAAAGTTTAAAAAGAATAAAAGTTTTCTCTTTGCACAGGGAAGACTACAGCGTAGCTGGAGGTCTTTGGAGCATGTGATGAAAAGGAGGACAGAGATGACAAAGATTTGGGACACCTTGACATAGAGCCATTAATTAGGACTGACCTGGACAAAGGACGTCTGGTCTCTGCAGCCCCAGTGAACGTCTCAGGGAAACTCTAGTCTGTGCAAAAATATGGTGTGGAGGGATTAAAGCTAACGTGCCTGAGATGCTACCAGGTGTTTGTCCTCTGGAATATCGGGATCGCACTCTTTTATAATCTAAACAGCATGCTGGGGCTAAATCCAATATTCACTCTCTTTTAGCTGTGTTCTTGGTGCCAACAGTTTCTCTAAACCTTCATAGCTTTACAAGTGATTCCCTATGTTTCCCAGAATGCCGATGGACAGCCTCCAGAGTATAAAAAAATGTAGTTAAAGTAAACCCATATTGTTATCCGTCAGGAAAATACCAGACGTTAATCTGAAATCTGATTCCCCACCCTGTCTCGTTTCCCCCTCCAGTTGGATTGATGGAAATGCAGATGAATGTGATTGTGACAGATGGGTGTAGGAGCAAGAACAGAAGAAACGCAAGATAGGAAGGGCCCGAGTGAAGACCAGACGGAACATAAAACCCACCTCAACACTTTGATCTGTTCAGAGTTTTTTATTTTCATTTCATTTTTTCCATAATAAAGCCCGAATGACTCTTTAAAAGACTCTTTAAATAAGCTCTAAAGGCTTATTTATTGAAAAATAATCTTGCACTCTTTACTTTTGTACTCTATCCTCCTCCTCCTTTCCTTTTTGCGACAAGAGATGATTGCATTGACCGATGCTGCCTCAGACTTTTGGTTCAGTCTGATAAATTACACTGTCCATCATTGGAGGACGAGAGTAAAAGCGAGGGAGATAACCTGGTTGTCCATCATCCTTTGTCCAAGTGCAGAGAGGAGATTGGATATTGACTCGAGGTTGCCTTCTCCAAGCCAACGTATTTGAAGACTCTGTCATGGTATGACACAATAGTCCCAATACTGAGTTTTTCTGCAGTCACAAGCCTCTTCAAGTACATACTTTCCAACTTAAACACCTAACTTTTGGCGAGACGCAGCTCTGGAAGATGAAATTTCGTGTATTATATCACCAGTAAACCTCTTGTATTAACTCTGATCCTGTAGTCGAAGGTTCGTTGCCGTGGGTAAGCCAGCCTCTTCCTCTGGTTATAGTGACACCTGCTCATCACTGGAGCCCTGTTCTACGAAGTCTTACTGCTTTTTTTAACTTCAGCAAGTTACAGTACACAGCTGTTATAACAACCAAAGTCCTCACTTACAACCTGACAGCTATTCCAGCCTGCTTTTAGCTCTTCAAATCCATGCATGCCTGTTCCTCACAGCTCTACACCCGTTCTACTACGGGTGCCTTCCGGTGTCCCTCCCCCTCAAAACCCTCCCGCCAATCGGAATCTAATTCTTTTGTGTCTGTCCTTCACCTGTCCCGTCATTATAGACAGTCTCTGCACAGCGCCACCTGGCCGCGTCGGAAGTCCCTGCACGGGCAAAGGCGTCTGTAGTTGGGGGAGTATCCTGCACAGCTGAAGAGGAGGGGTTCCCGCTGGAGGCTGCACTCCCGCCGCACCACCGAGAAGGCTGGGAGGATGTGGTTGATCTCGGAGTCTACCACGTCGCACTGCACCGCCAACCTGAGGGGTGAAACAAAGGAGGTCTGCATACACCCTAAAATAACAGTTCACCGGATTTAAGTTCTGCAGTGTTCTTAAAAGACTAACTTATAAGAAGTAATAAAAGCTATTTTTTTTATTTGAGACAAGTAACAGGAAAGTGGAATTGGCGTAACCTCAAAACACATGGAAGGGGAGACGGGAAACAAGAGAAATTTCTTCGCTTTCATCACACTTCAGATGCCGATTTAAAAAAAGAGAACGACGAAATTTGGTGGAAAAGTGACAAGGAAGTTGGATAAAACTGTGAGTCAAGTATGAGGTGTCAGTGTGAGGAAGATAACTTCTGTCAGAGAACAGACTTGAGCTTTGAGGAGGAGTAACAGAAGAGAAACAAACGGAGAGCGGCACTATAAACTGAGACCGAGAAGTAAACACAGAAGACTCTTGGAGGATGAAAAGAGCAAAGAATAAGAGCTGGAGCTGAGAGCAGCCAGTGGAGGGTTTTTTTTGGAGGAGAGACTCAAACACCGGCAGGCTTTCAGTCTCAGAGCTCCGGAAACTTAAGTTTGTGGTTCAGCTGCTTGGAGCTGGTCCAGTAAACTAAATAAGTACCTGGTGAGATTCGGCCCCCACCTGTTCTCAGTGTCAACCAATATTAAGATACAGGTTTAGATGCTATACATTTGTGTGGATGAATTGTAACCACCAGGAGTCTTTTAGATACAGAGCTGTCAATATTTCTTGAGGGGATTTCGATTTTTGTGCTAAGAGATGAAAAAAATATCAGAAATTGCTTGTTTGTTTCCAATTCCTATTTATATTCCATGTAGAAATGACTGACAGTGTTTTGATGACATAAGATGTTCTTCAGGAAAAGCTGAGAGAGTGAATACACCAGACACAGGAGTCCAAAGACTGCAACTGAGGACTTGTCACTATGTCGAAAAGTGTGTACGGATGCAGCATTCGGCCCTGTGGGGTCCACGTAACTCAGATGGACTTTGGGCTGACTTACCCGCGCAGGGCCTCCTTGTTGTTGATGAAGCGGAAGTGAGCGGGCTCACAGATGAAACCATCCAACTGGCACGCCTCCACGCAGGACTGGCCCTCTTGAGATACGAGCAGCCTGAGGGAGCTGAGAGGAGGCCAGGCGGGGGGCGCCGTCACATTGGATGCCCAGCCAAGGGCTGTGGAATTGGGCAGGGGCACAAACAGGGGTCCTGTAATCCTGCTGCCACCAGCAGACACCTGTCTGGAGAGGTTGGCTGGAATGAAGGGAGCCTCGAGTGCACAGAAGTCCTGGAGGGGAAAGATATAGTAACCTTCATTTGGGCAATCATGTTATTTTGTTTCTAGTCAGAATGGTGAGGCAGCTCAGAAGAAAGCAAATTAAAGGATTGGTACACATTTTTGTTGACATTGAACAGTTTTTTCCTGCTTTGAACATTCCTCTTGTCCATATTGGCGTGATGCAAGTGATGGGAGACAAATCCACAGTAATTCTTTTGTGCAAAGCTGCATTCCAAAGTTTATATGAAGCTGGCTTTAGCGCTCTGAGTTAGTCAAATCGAGTGGGGATCCTCCCTCTGCCACGGTTTAGCAAGGAAACAGTAAGGGAACAAAAAAGCCAGACTGACTCTTCTGAAACATCATATTAGCTACAGCTTACTTTTGTATTTTTGCACCCATCACATTCGAAATCTCTTTGGCGGGGATCTCTTTACAGCCAGTATGAACAGGAGGAACCATCACAGCAAGTAGAAACTGTTTCTATGTATACGGACACCGAATTATTGTGTTAAGAGACTTGAAAAATATGTGAATCTATCCTTTAACAGTAAAGGTCTTGTCAGACAGCGAGCAGTTACTGGTGTGTTTGTCGCCCGGTGATTCTGGCTGTGTCGAATACTACCAACATCCTGTATCATATGCTGCTAATCGTAGTAGAGCAGGTTGTATCTTAAAATGTAGGGAATAACATTTAATCAACATAGCAAGTTAAGATAACTGATATCATACAATGTGTACTGGCCCAAACCTGATGTTACTCCAACACAACTTTTAATTTGTTTGTTCACTGCTGGGTTGGGGGTGTAAGCTAGACATAACTCAGTGGACTCTTTTATCTTTGTTTTGGTTTCTGGGGTTGCCAAAATCACACAACAAGCTGTGGTGGCAATTTAATCAATCAATTGATATGGCAGCCAGTGGCAATTCACAAGAGCAGCATCTGCCCTCTGGCTCTGTGCTGCTGCTACTTGAACGTTGGAGGCACAGCTGACACCGTGTCTCCATTGGAAACAACGACGGGTGCTGAAGCTACGACAACATGGAAAAGCATAGCAAGGAAAGTTGATTTTACAAGGTGCCTTTAAACAATTCAAAGAGTTGTACAGTACTGATTTACACATGAGTGAATAATTAAAAAACAAGAAAGTGTGAGGCAAAGTAAAAGAAGGTGCTAAATGAAACCAGCCGTAGCTGCTACAGCAATGCTAGTGCATAATTATTACTAATGCATATTTGCATAAGTAATAAGGTTTATGGTCAATCTTGATTAATCAGTTTCTCCTGTTCCTCTTTCAACAGTACAAAGGCTACAGTAGCGGTTTCTGTATCCAAACCAGCCGCCAGTCAAGAGCAGATGAAGGTTGTTGAGAGACACCTCTGCAGTTTGTCTGACATCTAGGGTGGGATTATAAATACAAATAAAAATTGTTCTTTCATCCCAGTCCTCCATCATGCTCATGTCCACACTTCTGCTCTTTCTCCTTACTTATCCCTCCTCATTAGTGTCAGGAGACCTTCTGCTTTAGAGCTGGAGGGCAGATATGTGGTTTGTAATGAGAATTAGCATGTAGATTAATCACAAGTCTACATACGTGGAGTACAGAGATAATGACACACACGCGCGCACACACACACACACACACACACACACACACACACACACACACACAC